CTCACATTTTGTGACATATTTTGTGTGACCATTTTTATACCAAAGCAAGCTAAAATAAAATCTTAATTTATGAGAAGTAACGAATCAGACTTACTAAGTAACTTAATTTTTTGGCACTTAATTTCGAACCTTATTTTAATTCAACTGACTTCATTTTCTTCCTGATGATGCCGTACAATGTTCAAAAGACAGTTCTTCCTCAATGACTAATCCTGCAGTGACTCAGGATGACAACTTTAAATTACAAACTGCAGCAACCAGTTTACCAGAAGATTAAGCTGGATGTATGGGCACTCCAAGGAGGTTGGTTTCTTTACCACTTTTCTGATAGCATATTATTTATTTACTTTTTGCCCTAAATGGCAACGCAGGTCTGGGGATACTTGTAGGCTCCAGATAAAAGCAGCTGGTCGATCCTTTGCTCCTGCTGGTCTCTTCCCTCACAAAAGGAACATTAAGCATTTACTTTGATAGAGTCACAGTAAAACTTATTAAAAGCTTTCTTATACCAATCAAGATGGTATGATGTTGATCTGTGAACAGACCCATACGTCAATGGAAGAGAATAAAGCCCAGAAAGAAACCTACACATATAAGGCCAACTGATTTCAACAAAGGTTCCATTTTAACTCAATGAGAAATGCATAAAATTCTCAACAAATGATTTCCATCAAAAAACAAAAAACACTCCTCACCTTTTGCAATATATGAAAAATAACTCACCATAGACCTAACACCTGAGAGCTAAAACTATAAAACTTGTAGAAGAAAACATGGGAGAAAATAATAGTGCCCTTGAGAGAGGCAAAGGTTTCTCGGCTAGAACACAAAAGCATGAACCATTAAAGAATAAAATTAACAAATTAGATTACATCAAAATTTGTATCTGCTCTTCAAAAGCCACTGCTAAGAAAATCAAAGACTAGCCACTGACTGGGAAAAAATACTTGCAGACATGTATCTAATAAAGGTCTTGTATCCAAACATACACAGCTCTTTCAACTCAATAGTGAGAGGGTAACAACAAAAGAACACATGAGGAAGAGAGCTGAACTGACACTTCAAGAGGAGGTAAGGATGGCCAACACACACAGGGAAAGGCGCCCTCTAGGGAACGTACACCAGAACTACAGTGCGCTCCCTCGGCATCGCACACCTCCCAGCACGGCCTCCATGGAAGAGCCTGACAGCAGGTGGGGCTGGTGAGAACAGGAAGGGCTAAAACAACTTTGCTGCAGGTAAGAATGCAAAATGGTGCAGCCCCTTGGAAAAGCCTGGCAGGTTTCTGAACAGTTACAACCCGTCCCAATGGGACGCCCCAGGAATCCCACTCCGAGGCACTTACCCAAGATGAATGAAAAAACGTCTTAAAAAATGATCCGTATGTGACCTTTCATAGCAGCTTTATTTGTAACAATCAAAAAACAAAAACTATCCAAATATCCATCAATTGGTGAATAAATAAATTGGCGTATCTGTCAAATGGAACACTACCCAGCAATACATAGGAATCCAACAACTGAGGACATGCAACACGGATGAGTCTCAAAAGCATTATGCTAGGTTTAAAAAAGACATAGGATCCCGTTTGTATGACATTCTGGAAAAGGCAAAACTCTAAGGATAGGTTATCAGGGGAGTAGATGGGAGGTGCCAGAGTCAGGGGTCAGGGACTGACTGCAAAGAGGTAGGAGAAAACTTCTTTTGGGGAGATGATAATGTTCTATTACTTGACTGTGGTAGTTGTTACAGGACTGTATGAATTTGCCAAAATTCCAACTGTACGCTCAAAAGGGTGAACTTTACTGTAGGTTAATTATACCTCAATAAACCTGATGTAAAAAGGAAAAGCTCTTTCAGTATGATGCATGAATCAGGCATTATTAATCATGTTCTCTTGTTAGGCCAAATCCATGCCTGACCCTTAGCTCTATCGCTTAAGCACCCGCGAGGGAAGCGGGGGAAGCGGGGGAAGCGGGGGAAGCGGGGAAAATGGAAGCCAAGCGGCAGGAGAGTATGAGAGACAGAAAGGAGGCAAGGACGCCAACATTTTTGTAGAGGGACTTCGCCAGGTTTGATTTGTAAAAGAGAACTTACTAACCATTTTAACTTTAAAGAATTTATCTTACATTTTCACACAAGCCCAGTGCGGCATAATTTTCAATAACAAAAAAGTGGAGACAAGTAGCATATATTAGGAAGAAAATGACTAAATTATAAATATCAAAGTCACATAATTCTACAAGAGGGGTTTAAAAGACTGAAGAGCACTAGGACTCCCCATGTTAAGACCAAAGGACATGCATGGTACTTTGTTGAATAAAAAAATCAAGTTGCAGAACAGCATGTGTAGACCCCAGCAGAAAACCACAGGCTCTACAGTTGCGTTTACCCAGCAAAGGTCTGAGCCCCGCGCCTGGGCTGCTCACCGCATTTGCACCGAAGAAAGCTGCAGTGAGGAAGGTGTGGCTGCAGGCTGGCACGCGGTGTGAGAAAGCAGTTTTTAATTTTGTACAGTTTTCTACTTTTTTCAATAGCCGCATTACTTTTGTAATAAAAATGAGTAAATCTAAGAGTGAAAGGGAGGTTGCTCGCAGCAGCAAGAGCTGCCTTGGCTTATAAGGCACGGGTGCAGAAGAAACTCCAGATGTCCAGCTGCCATCTCCTGGACAAACGAGGAACTACAGACCAGGACGATGAGAAAGGTTCTAAGGCCAGATGTCAATGGTTACAGGAGTAAAATGTAAGGCCAGAAAAAACGTTTTGCAGCCAAGTTTTTGACTGAATCACAAGTGAAGAGAAACTATTAAAAACAAGCATACATGTCAGATACAGAAATCATCAAGTTTTAACAAATTTTATGATGCAAACGAGACGAAAAGGATAAAACTGGGTCTAAGTTGCTTTAATTTCTCAGAGCTGATCTTTTTTAGGAAAAATGCCTTGTTTGTTCTTAACAAATAACACATTGAACACTTAACAAAATACTCACATTGAAACATTTGGAAACCAACACAACTTGTGTCTGTGTATTTTTATCTGTAAATGCTAGAAAATGAGAACAACTTTACATTTGAAAATTCAAGTGGAAAAAATCACACACCAAAATGTTTTCCCTTACCCTCATCAGCACTTTTGAGGCATAAAACAAAGCATGTGAAGTTATAAAAATTCAAAGACAACTGAGATTGAGATTATAGATCATACAATTAAAAAGGAAAAAAAAATCACTTTTATAACCTGCATGTTAAACAAAGAAAAAATACAAAAAGCTAACAAAACGCTCTAACATCTTATATTTCTGAAAGTTTTTTTCTTCTTTTTAAATGCCAAAACCAAATAGCTTCATAAGAAGTTAATTAGTTCTTTTTTTGTGGTTTTCAGTGGTATACATTTGCCAACCACACTAAACTATAAAAGGGGGGGGAAAGTCCATAAATAATTTACGTGTAAAGATAAAAGAATTTTTTAAACAATCCACCTTTTAGCAGAAGAAATTGGGGATCACTTTGAGTGTTAATGTAAAATACATTAGTCTTTGCCAGCAGGAGTCCCAGACCTGTTGGTGCCAAGAAGGTAACAAATAGTCCCTCTCTGCGGAGGGGAAATGGGGGGGAAATGGGCGCTCCACAGGAGCTCGCTCCCCTGGAGGGTTATTTATAGAGAGCTCTATTTGTTAACAGGCTCCTGCTATCGCAGGAGGGAGAGTTTAACGACTGCAAGGATTCCAAAGACAATTGTTTAATGATATGATGATTTACACACATTCACAAATTCCAGATATATAACAAATTAGATTTTCAAATTGCTATCACCAAAATGGCGATAGGAAATAAGATATACCGCTATAGGGCTAAGGCATAACTGTAAAGTCCTGGACAAGTGACAGCATGTACTTGACATTGTGAAATAAATTAGAATTAGGTCTGGAAAATGCCTTGTTGAAAAAGAAGCCAGCGACCTACCACCACGCTTCATGTCAGTAAACTGATTTTCTAGGGCCGCTTTGAATAAGTTTTTTGGACTTAAAAACAATTTTTTAAGGAGAACCACAAAACCAATCCCAAATTACCTATGACTAATTTGAATAATCTGGGAAATGAGTCTTCAGCTAAACTGCCATATTTTCACCAAAAACCAATCATCCACCTCTCACCCCAGAAAACATTTAAGAATCTTGTTTGAAGAACAAAATGCTTTCATCGCATTAGTTATTTACAAATTGTATTTTCATTTTGTAATGACACATTTATCATATAGGCAAAGGTAGGTTTTACAGCTGTATGCAAAACTCAAGAGTTTATTCTTGTTTATTTAATTATTTGTTATCACTGATTATTTCTTATTTTCTACACAAACAACCTTAAACCTACTTTTTGCCCCACCCTGTATTCTGGTTGTTGAAAGACTTTTCCAAAATTCCATGCTGGACATTTGATTTTAATCTAAGTATTAAAAATTTCATTTCAGACAGCTAAGGCAAGTTTCATCAATGGAGAGAAAACATGTTTTATCATTTCCCTCCACCCCAATTGTTAAGATTTTTAACCAGTTTTGCAGTATTTTTAAAGTAAAAACATACTTTTTTAAAACAGCTTCCCACCTTGTATTAACATCTATTTTCATAGTTGCATTAATTAATTTTTTTCTTAAAAAATCCCTTCTCATCCAGATGTAGTGAATCAATTCTAAAAGATTTTTTCCCAACAAACTCTAAACCTTCAGTGGCAAATATGTATTAATGTAAAACAAACTTAAGAGGCATATTATTAGGTCTAAAAACAATCCTTTTTAGCAAAATACTAATAAAGCATTTACCATTTGGGGGGAGAAGGAATTTAATGGAATGTTTATTTTCTGAATGATAAAGAAATTCACTTATTTCTACTTAACAGTAGGTTCAACTCACATGACTTTATTTAAAAGCTTTAAACCCTGAAGTTGAACAAACAACAGGAGCTAGGATGAAAGGATCTCTCAGGCAAGGGTAGTTAGCGTCTCTCTTGCCAAACATTCTGCAGGGAATGGCAGTTACTGCTGTAGTTGTCTGACATTCTCTCTACATCGGTTGGAGAGCTTTCTCCCTCTGGTTGAGAAAGGGCCTTCTTTCTTAGCATTTTGGCTTCACATTTGCAGTGTGTGCAAGGGCAGATGTACAAAAGCTCCTCCTCCTTTTCCCAGGTAAACGGGAAGAAGTGGCAGCAAAGTCCTCACTGTTTTCTTGACCTGATACAGAGCAGGGTATCCCCGGTTTGTGACCGAAGGACACAGTTTTTTTCCCAGGGGACAAATCTTCAAATCCTCTGCTGTCTAATGTATGCATGGTTCTCCTTCTGGTTCTCTGGGAAGGGCAGGAAGTGGAAGGAACTGGAAGTGAAATCCATACAAGTCCTTCATTTGCCAAATCTTTCTGCAGCCTTGTGCTACGACGGACTTTTGTTTCCCTATTTGTTCTCTGGAAGGTTTGTTCTATGGAGTCAGATAACTCTTTATACAGTTCAGAATTTTCCAGACCAATTTCTACAGAGCTGCCCACATTGTAGGAAGGTCTGTGCATTCCATTTTTTCCCAAAGGTAAATTCTGACCATCAAGACAACCCATAGAGCGCCTGCGTTGCTTCCCTGCACGGCTCACTCGGCTACTGCTTCCTGTGGCGTTGCTTCCCAAATCCTCACTTTGATGTTTTTTTTTCCTTTCATCAATTAAGACATCTGAATAGTCACATTCTTTTTGTGAGCTGGACTCTGGGCCCTTGGTCTGCGGTTTTCCTTCAGTAGCTACTAAGTCATCATATTGTTCACACTTTAAGTCTCCTGAAATTCTAAAGCCCTGAGGATTTCCCATGTTTTGATCATCAGCAGAAAACTCTTGGGACTGCTTAATAAAATCGGACTGTGGACCACCTGACACAATGGGTTTTTCAGCCACAGAAGCACAAGAAATACGACTATTTTCATTCTTGGTCCCAGTTTTTAGGTCATTTTCACTTTCCAACTTGATTTCTGCTTTTGAAATAATTTTATTTGCATGGATTCCTACAGTATTTACATATGAATCTTGATCACAAGTGGCATTAATAAGCGACAAGGAACTTTTTATGTAAGAACTGCAGAATTCAGACACATTGTATTTACTGAAGTCTTCTGAGTTCAGAGGGAAAAGACTCTTTCGTTCAGGAAGCTTCCTTTCTTCAAGATCACCATTTGAGTTGAAATCATCTATGGGCATGTAAATAAATTTGAATCTAATTAAAAAGCAGCCATAAAAATAAAGTTCAACAAATCAAACAGGTGCCACATTGTAGTGTTTTAACCTTTTGAACATCACAAGACCCACAAAATGTTACATTGTACTTGCCCCATCTGTCACCATCCTCTCTCTTGTCCTTCCTTCCCAACCCACAGGCTAAGGATATAGGTAGTTAATGCATGAATTAATAAAGCCCATAACCGCAGACCAAGAAAATGAGAACTGTATCTAACATTGCTTCCTCTATTCTAACACACTTCTCTCGCCACAAGGCCAGTGAGCATGAGGCAGCTACATTTCCCATTCCCCTAAAAATGAATCACTGAAAGTGGGCAATGTCATGCTTCTGAGGCTTTTCTAGCAACATTTCCCCTGAAACAGAGGAAAGAAAACTTGGAGTTCTGGGGGATTTAAGGACTTTACTAAAAGGGTTCTCCCTGAAAACTTCAGATCTCATGTCCTGTGTAAAAAACTAATATAAAACACGCTGTGCTCTCAAATAGAGCCATGTTTGTTCCAATATTCTAAGTCTCCCCTCTTCTGTCTTAATCGCTGACTAAAATTCATCCTCCAGGAAATTCTTCCACGTGGAGCCTGTCACGTGCTTTCGGCACAGTGTGTGACATCGCAGGTGCAGAGAACCACGGGTGAGAACATCGTGAAGGTTTTTAAGTTACACGCCGCTGCCTGCACGGGCGCAGGCCGAGGTGTCTACATCCGAGCACCTACGGTTCATCGTCGCCTCCCTCGTTATCTCAGGGAGTGAAGCTCTAAACTGGCCAATCAAGTGAGGGTGTAAAGTGTTCTAAACAAAATCAGAACTGGCAGAGATATAAAACATAAGCTGAACAAAACATCTAAAACACAGGGTTTAGGTCTGAAAGGCCTATGTCCATGGCTTGGGTAATTAAAGCCACATCAGGGGGAGCCGGGGACGAACAAGCAGGCTCTGCTTGGGGCCCCCCGCGATGAACATGGATTCTTTATACAACTTTAAGGACGGACACTCACGCACTGTTCGTGAAGTTAATGTACTACAGAAGGAAAGTAGGGGGCAGTGTAGGAAGCAGGGACGGGGGCAGAGAGATGGAGCAGGCCATGGAAAGGAAGGCGGGAGGGAGGGAGGGAACTGCTGTAAACCCTTGCAACAGCTGGCTATGGATTGAAAAATGCTTCAGGTATTTTAAAAAAACAAGTTCTCTGGTAAGATGCAAGATGGGAAATATATACTAACATTAAACATCTTTGGAAAACACTCGTTAGAAACGGGGGACAGAACGAAAACACGAGGTCCCAGTCTCAACGGGACAGCGATTTGCAGGCAGTGGAGGCAGCCAGGCCGCTGTACACCGGGCGGGCACCATGGGAGCAGTTTTCCTGAAGAGGCAGCCGGCACAGAGTCTCCCAGGACAGTGGCACTAAGAGCGGCAAGGAGGCCGACGCCCCACCCCCGGACAAACCACACGACACGCTGTGGCTGGAGGCGCGTCTACGACTGCGGGGGTGGTCCTGAGCTTGTTTAAACTTTTGTGCTTTCCTGAAGTTCAGAAGCAGGCGGAGGCCGGAGTTTACCAAGGGTGACCCGCACCTTCGTCACCCTTGGATCCGTTATAAACCCTGCATGGTATGCTGCGAAAGGAGTGTAGGCTGTGAGTATCGGGTGACTGGCAAAGGCAGCTGGTTTAAAAAAGATTCTGTACAAAATAACCCACCAAATGAACACACACTCTTATTATCTGGGGCGTGACTTAGTTGATTTAAAGTCCAGGCATTACAAACTAGATGCAACTCCAATCCAATTTTTACTGAACTAGGATACCATGCAACTTCATCTTTGCTTTTAAATGAAGCTTTCAGGGTAACCAAGCTCACTTTACAAATGTCACTTTTAGGAGATGCTTAGTAGCATCAACTCAACTGAAGCATGGGGCAAGTATTTTTAAATTTTTGTCTTTAATTCATGTAAGATGTACCGAATGTTGAACCTTCACCTTGTTCACTTTTGATGATGAACTATGCCACCAAAAAGAATTCAGTTTACTTTAACCAAATGCTTTAAAAAGGAAAAGGAAACAGGATGAAAAAAATTATTTCCCCTAAAATGATACACAGTATCTCATGTCCACATGTCTCTGGAGGGAGGACCAGAGCTCTGACCGGAGTCAGAGAGGGTCTAGGGGCCCTGAAGGTTACGCTACCCCTTCCTTAACCTTTCCATGGTAATGTGAAAAGCTGCTGTTTTTTATTTATTTACAATGTACACAGTAAATGGGAAACAGGGGGAAAAAAGAGAGGAAAATAGCAACAAAGAGGGAGAAGACAGTGTGTGAACAAGGGCAAAGGGACGGGTACCTGGCGCCGCCCGGCGGGCCCCTGGGAGTCGGGGGGGCGTCTCAGAGGCTTCGGGCAGCTCTGGGATAGGACTCAGAAGTGGCTTCTTAGAAGCAATATCTCGTTCCCCATACAAGTTCTTCTGAACACCTTTCTTTTTTCTTCCTTTCTTCTTTCGAGAACTTTTTAAAACCTGAGAAAATGTATTAAAAACACAGTGACTGAGAAAGATGTAGCACCATATTACATTTTTGACCCTTTAATTTCTATAGAAACACTGAAGACAAGTTAGGTCATTTAAGATTCCAGAAATCTGAGTGAGGGGTTGAGGGCTAGGTACTTACACAAAGTCAAATAAAATTTAAAGTAGAACTCAATCACCAAATGGTAGCATGATGTTCTTTATTTGCCAAAATAAGCTCTGGATAAGTCAAAAACAGATTAGATGACGAGACTGGACGGACTTAAGACGTGAGGTGCCTGTAACGAAGGTGCAGTTAGGGTGACTCAGGGCTAACCAGGAGTTCCTACCGGCAGCTTGGGAGCCACGGGTGAAGAAACAGGAGATGCATGCATAGAAGGGAATGCAAAGCTAAGAGAGTTGATTCAAATGACAGAAGATTTAATCAAGGTTTAAATGAATAGGTCAAAATAAAATGGATTTTTACCAAGCACAAATAGAAGATGAGGAGCAAAGGCTGGTAATAATTGAGAGAAAACATTCAAGTTTCTGTAAAAATTGGAAACCGCTTTAATAATATCTGGAATGCAGTATTAAATCTAGTTCTGACAGCCACTTCAGTAACTGAGAACTAACATTCTATGTTAAGTAAAAGTTTTGTATGGAAAACACTCGAGGGAAATTCAAACACTGTGTTGAAATAACAGATCATGAGCAAAAAGAAATAGACTCCGTGCGACAACACTGGAGGGTCCAGACTGCAGGCCAGCAAAAAGACGGTGATTTTAACCAAGTTTCTTAGGCGGTGGCATGCACGCGAACGTTTACGGGGACACTGCCTGGGCAGGGAATGGCCTGCTGGGCGCGAGACGTAAACGCGCTGGACGTGGCCTTCAGGAAGCTTGCGGTCTAACCGCAGCTGCAATGGTAGTACGTGCAGACCATGGCAGGCGGCAGGGATGAGGAGACGGGGGCCTGGCCCACGGGAGGCGCTCGAGGCAGGCTCGGCGGAAAATGTGATGGCTTCGTTAAACCTTGAAGAAGCGAAGGCTGTTCTGGCTGAAGATGGGAGTGGTGCGGAAGGGCTCTCCCAAGAGAGGGGAGTGGCACTCACAGAGCGCTTGGTGGGGCGCGCGGTGGGGGCCGCACGTGGAGGGGGTGGATGAAGCTAACAAAGCCAGCAGGGCCCTGTCCGCACCGTCTGGGAGCTCACTGCACGGGGATCCAGGGAGTAAGAACATTTGACGTCGCATTCAAGAACAGTCGTTTGGTGATAGCATTGAAATGCGTGGTGTGAAAGAGTGAATGATTTTCAGAGTACAGAAGTGGCCCAGAACTGTATGTTCCTTTAAATGGCTACAAACAGCCTGTAAAAACAAAACAAAACGTAGCATGGAAAAACAATTTTATAACAGTACAAGATAAGTGTTCCTCTGGATGATTTACTATATACATTTAACATTAAATTCTCTGAGAAGTCCTCAGTATAAATAATCTCTACATACATTAAGAAAATGCTGGGTTCATTTTACCATGAAACATTTTTTTTCATGAATTTCTGTTGACTTCTATGAAACTGCTCGGGAAATTATAGCTTAGCCAGTGGAGGTGGAAGGAAAGAGGAAAACCTTAACTCAGCTCCATAGATCAGATGCGAAAGAAAAGTATTTGGCCTCTGGTGCCAGAAGCCTCCTTTTCAAATCCTGACTCTGTCCCTTAACAGCTTTATGACCTTAGGCACCTCACCACCCCATACCTCATTCTCAACCCCTCTGCGAAGTGGAAATCACAATAGCACCGGTATTCAATAGACTACCTTAAGTGAAAGGGTGAAAACAGAGCTCGCCCCGCATGTGTTAGCTATTCCCGTTCTTTTAACTTCCCTGACTACTTTGAGGATTGATATGGGGGAAATATTTTTAACATCAGAAATTATGCTCCTAGTATTATTGTGTGACACAGACCCTACGTGGTCAGTTAATATACTACAGTCAATCTTATAATCTCTAGAATAGTTTGATTCATATATAGGGAAAATCTCCTTTTAGCCAGATTTTGAAAATCTTTGTTGACATAAAAAGTCTCCAGCACCTGGCTCATAGAGGCTTCTCAACAAACACGAACAAAGGAATGAATGAATAAATGTAAAAGAAAAAGAAATACAATTAATTAAACTTCATAACATTTGCTAAACATGGTGAAAGACGAATACTCTGTTTTTTCATGGTCATGGGTCAACAGAGGTAAATCAGCCAAAAAGAAAAGACTAAAGCACCTGTGGTCTGCCGTGAAAATACATCAGTATGACCAGGAAAAGGCTTCATCTGCAAAGGCTAGAACTTTTAACTTTAGAATTTGAATTTAAGCCAATACAAAAGCCTTGCTTATACTGTAATCAGCAGAAGCAGCCACCCATGACTGGAACTGTAGGGAAGCCACGCGACCTAGAAATGGTTCTATTGGTGCATGACTTGGAGCAAAGGACAACTGAAGGGGTCACCCCTGAAGTGACTCCATTTCTTCCAGAATCATCAATCTCTCTCCTCATACAGTGAAGGAGGTGATGCAACAGAAGCAAATGCTTATCTTTTATTTGCACAATTAAGATTTATATGCATGGCAACAAATCAAATTGTACAGGAATCTTATGATGAAAAGCATACACTTCACTACCTCTGCTGTTTATTTAGTGTTTCCATTTTCTGTATTGTAGTAGCTCCATCTCTTTTAATAAGGGGCTTATGTTGCTATATTTTTAACTTTTATTTATAATGGAAAATGCCCAAACCAAAAAAAAAAAGTAGAATAGTTTATTGAATTCCATGTATTCATCAACTATCTTCAATAATCACTAACATAGAAATCAAGATTCATTTATAATCTCTCACCCTGATTATTTTAAAGCAAATCCCAGACATTACATTTTATCTGAAAATCTTATAGTATCTCTGAGAGGGAAGGATTCCCATTTTCCACAATAAAATAAAACATTTTATTACCTGACATTGTATTTTATTGATCCCCCCCCCTTTACAATGGAGTTTACTTTTTTCCAGCTTCATTGAGATATAAATGACATATGTCATGAACATTTAAGGTATACACACTAAGTAATCATTTGATGTATATACATATATGCACATATATATTTCAAAATTACCCTTTTGTAACAACTACTACTCCTCAGCAATAAAACTGAGTAACTTGATACACACAAAAACCTGGACAAATTTCCAGAGAATCGTGCTGAAGGAAAAAAGCCTATCACAAAGCTTACACAGTGTGAGATTCCATTTCAGTAGTGTTCTTCCACAGGAGACAGCTCTGGTAGGGAAGGCTACCCTCCTAGAACATCCTAACCCAGTGCTGTGAGACGTCGCCAGCACCACTGGGAAAGACTAGTTACCTGGGATCTCTATAACTCTTCTTAAAACAGCACGTATTTCTAAAATTATCTCAAAATGAAACATTTAAACACTAAGAACCTCCTGACTTCAAGATGGCAGAGGAGTGAATGGAAGTCACACTGACCTCCTCCCAGGACCAATCTGGAATTACAATTAAATTGTGGACAAATCACGTGGAACAAACAACTGAACAATAGCGCGAGAGGAGCCTTATAACCTCGGACAGACGGAAGAATCAGCTTTAGCACAACCTGACTGGTAAGGAGTGCGGGAGAGACTTGAGAAGGTAGGTGGGGCGCCCATGGGTGGCAGCGCAAGATGGATAATGAAATGGCCAGATGGATCCCCCAGAGAACAGTGGGGTCTAAACCATAAGCGGGGATGCCCGGCCCACAGCACCAGAGCCCAAAAAGTACACAGATAACAACCAGCTGCAAAAGTACCAGCGATGCTCTCTGCCAGCAATGGGGGGCCTGGAGATGCAAAGAGCAGTTTAAAGGGCCAACACATGAATTTTTATTTGCAGCCACTTACCCTGGGCACTGGTAAAGGCAGAGGCAGAGTGGAATGGAGATGCCTGTGGAGAGACTGGGGAAGGAGTCTTTGGGTAGAGAACCGAGGGAGTAGCGGGCAGGATTCTGGTGCTGACTCATCCCCCATACAGCAGCAGCCATCCTGCTCAGGCAGACCATTCCCCTGAGGTGCAACAGTGTGAGAAGACCCAATAACCCTGCCCCCAGGAGGGACGACTCTGCCCCAACCCTGTGGTGCCTAAGCCTTACTGCTGAGTGCAGGGTGTAGAGTGACTAGATTAACAACTGAAGGAGACAGCCACAGACAGTAGATTCCTGGAAGCCTCTAAAAGACTGCCTAAGGTCAGATGGGGTCAACAGCTGACATCATCAGAAGCAGATCAAAAAAGAAAAAAAAATGCAGTCTCCTACCATAGAAGTTCACACCACGAAGTCAGGAAGTCAAGACAGATCAATTTAAGAAGCAGAAATTTAAAAAAAAAAAAAAAAAAAAGTCTCACAAATACTGAAAAGACAAAGAAACATCCCTCAATCGAAGGGAAAGGAGGAATCCCCACAAAGAGAACTACATGAAATAGAGGCAAGTAAACGAGCAGATACTGAGTTCCAAACAACGGTTCTAAGGAAGCTCAATGAGCTCAGTGAGCTCAGAGAGAATTACAAAAAACTACAGGGAAACTACGAGGAACTAACTGCAAACTATATCAACATGAAAAAGGACACAGAAACTACCAATAAGAGACAAGAGAAAATAAAGAATACCATTTCTGAATTTAAGAACACTGCAGAAGGAATCAAAAGCAGGCTAGATGAAGCAGAGGATCGAATCAGCGAGTTGGAGGATAAGGGAGAAAAAAGCTCCCAGAAAGAGCAAGAAAATGAAAAAAGACTCAGAAATAATGAAGAGGCATTGAGGGAAATGCAGAACAACCTGAAACATAATAATATCCGTATAATAGGGATACCAGAAGGAGAAGAGGAGGAGAAAGGGATAGAAAACCTGTTTGAAAAAGTAATGATGGAAAACTTCCCTCGTTGGAGGAGAGAAAAACTCACACAAGTCCAGGAAGCA